GTTCATTTTATTGTCAATGTTTGGATGGTTGATAAAGAGAATTATATGGCATTCTTAGGGAATTTTTTACTTTTCAAATGTCACTTAACGATTGATTAGCGGATTAGTTAACGACAAGTATTGGATTATCATAGTTTGAAAGATTGGGTATTAGATTGTCACATTTTGAAAGTTTAAGTACTGAGTTGTCGCATCTTAAAGTTCAATGACCAAATTGTCACTCGAGCCAAAGTACAGGGTATTGATCAAGAATTTTCCAAAACAGACTTGCCAAACGGTCTATAGGCTGCCAAGATCTTTATGCAAAAGCCCACTACGTCTTTTGATAGTCAGAGCTTTTAGAAAATCTTCCAAAACAAACTTGCCAAATGACACCTTGGTAAAGTTTTTAGGTGGTTGTACTCAGTTTACTTCTTTTTCTTGGAGTTTATACATCATCTAATGATATAGTATCCTTGACTTCCTCCATAGCTCATACGGATAAGGATGTCACTTGGACTGCATTTGGTCCAATCCAAAGTGAGGCCATAACAAATGGACCAGGTCTAATCCAATCCAATTAATACTTTGAACCATTTTTGGACCGGTCCAATTCAATGTCTAGACTACCCAATTTGTTTAAATTTAGATTAATTATAATCCAAACCCGATCCATTGACACCTATACTCTTATATTCTATCAATGGATCAAATATTGGCTCAATCCAACCCAATCCAATATAAATTCATTACATATGGACCAAATCCAATCCAATCCAATAAAATACTTTGGACCATTAAGCCTGGACTAGTCCAATTTAATATGTCTTGTTGGTCCATCCAATCCGTCCAAATTGATTTTGGTTTTGACGTGGTCCAATCCAAAACCAATCCATTGACACCCCTACATACAAATATAGACATTAATTAACTTTTTGAATGGTAGTGATGTGCGATCTGGTGCTCCCTACTGGAGGACATCTCGGACGTTAGGCTAGCGAGGTCGCCTAGTCAAGCTGCAAGAAAAAGAGCTGAATCGCACGTACCTTGTGAGGTTGAAGGCGAGGCCTTTATATAGGCAAGCTACCGTGGGCCTCACAATGCATGTTTGAGATCCTTGGCTCGTCTAATATGGAGTTGGTTTTGCACCTGAAGACAGACTCCGTGTAAGCTGATAAGGCTTATCCAGGTCCATCCAAATTGGGCGGGGAGAAGATGAACTCCGTTGACATGGTGTCGTGATCCCGATGAGATCGGAGACAATTGGTTTGCTTCTGGATAGAGGTTATGTGGCATCTCAACAGATTGGTGCATATAGTTGAGCTATTTGAGTCTCGGTCTAGCTGGGTGACCTGAGGTGTGCAAGGTGACTGAGATCGCTGAGGTCACTAAGGTCGTTGAGGTGTCACTTCATTGTTCTATCACTCCACGTGTCATCACATCATTTGATGGGCCAAATTATTTCTCATCAAATGGTCTTAGCAGGATGTGGATTTTTTTTTTCAAAACTGTGATGAATTTGTACAATTACGCCTTGAAATAATATAGACTCTTCCTCTCCTCTTCAAATTGAAGTCAAATGTTTTTTTTTTTTTCATCATCTAGACAACCAATCTTTCAAGGTTGGAGTGGATTTACTGGGATTTTCCTTAGTGCAAATGCAAATAATCCATGGTGGTTGTTGTAGATTTTGAGTACAACGAGCCTTTCTCTATTAAAACAGCCTGTGGTGTTGCAAATCCCATGATTCACTACCCATTATTGAGAGTCAATATCCATAATGTTGTCCACATAGACCATTTAGTATTTATTTACTTATGTGTGGATGTACTATTTTACATTTCACCTAGTAGGTATGTATAAATGGTGATTCAGTTCGATTAATTAATCAAATGGCCGATCCTAGATAGTCAGAAATTAAAGATCTATCTTGGACCATGAAAGATATAGCAAAAGTTGACATTTCAAAATCTAAAGAAAAGAAAATTGGGGAAAAACCATTACAAATTAACAATAGCATTTATGGTATTCTAATTGAGGGCTAAATTGTAATAGTAAACTTATTGGTAGAATTAATTATTAGGGTAAATTACAAGATGCAGCCTTGTACTTTGGGGTAGTGATACTTTACCCCAGGCCTTCATTTGCCACAAAGATCCACTTGAATTTTCATATTCTAGAACTTTGACCCCACTGTTACCATTCTGTTAATTAATAAATTTAGAAAATATTCTTATATAATTGTCATGTGCATATTTCAACATTTAAACTCAAACTGCCTTTATATCATTTATGAGACCATTTTGACGGAAACTGATAAGATACAACAAAAAACAAAGGAAAATTCAGAGTTTGCAGAAAATACCATAAATGCAACAAAAATCAAATAAAATAAAATACAAAAAGAACAGAAAAAAATAGGGAACTCTAGAAAACATGAAAATTGGGAAAAAGGAAATTGAGAAAATGCAATAAAATACAAAAAAGCGAACGAGAAAAGTTTGTAACTTGTAAGCTTCTTAGTTTTCAAAAGTGTATATATTAAATCATATTTGTCCATTAGAAAAAGCAAAGGTGGGGTTTTAAGCTATGATGAAATAATGGATAAAATATTATAAGCAATAGATTTAAGGGTAAATTATAGATAGAAACCTAGTACATTGGGGTAGTAACAAATAGGGAGGTCACATATCTGGCCCATAACACATCCTCGCCGTGTATTGGGAACATCTCCCAATGTTGACATCATCAGGAGATGTTCCCAATACATGACAGGGATGTGCTGTGTGTGACGGGATCTATTCCTCACAAATGGGTGCCTCACACACACATCCACCATGTATTGGGAACATCTCCCATGAATATTTATTAATAAGTATAGGAGATGTTCCCAATGCATGATAGGATGTGCTTGTGAGGCGCCAGTTGTGAGGAATAGATCCGATCTCGTGCTGTGAGGCGACTCATTGTGATGCAGAGACGTGATCTCACAGATAGGTGCCCTAAACTTTCAATTGCAATACTTGAGTACCCTAAACTCTCAAAAAATAGACACTTGGGTCCATCAATTAGTATTCCGCTAGTTAAATGTTAGATAATCCCAAAAATACACTTCTCATGTATTTATGAGATCATTATTGGGTAAAAGAACATCTCATCACGATGATGTTCTCACATGGACAACAAATAACATATTCAAAATTTTCAATGACGACATTCTATGGTGATGATTTTATTTTGTAGAATAATCTCAAAAACACACGAGAAAAAGGTATTTTTTACATTGTGCAATGTTTAATTGATGAAATACTAACGGATGGACCCAAGTGTCTATTTTTTGAGAGTTTAGGGTGCTTAAGGGTTGCAATCGAAAGTCTATGGTACCTATCTATAATTTACCCTAAAATTGATGTATTATTTATTATATGTAAGAGTTTTCAAAAAAATGATAAATTATAGATAACCATTCTAAAGCACATATTGTTCTCAAGGCATTGATGAACCAATCATTCACAAGGCGTTCTTAAATATGAACTTTGTTGAAAGGAAGTTGAGAGAAACATGAGGAAATAGGGTGCAAATGGATCGGATCATGAGCTGATCCTATTTGGCCGAATTTGGATCACACTTGGTCGGGTATTCGGATCAGATCCTATGATCTCATCAAAAAATCGGATTGGATTCGATTCACCCCCTTTCCGATTTGATATGTTATATATTTATAAATATATATATAATACATATATATGCTATTTATTTATTTATAAATATATTATTTATATTATATTTTTATAAAATTGTTATATTATTTATTTGATATAAAAACACGTATATTTATGATGAAAATGATTTATTAAATACTTGTATTTCTTTATTTAAATTAGTATACTTTTTTTAATAATTTATTAATTTTGAAAGAAAACAAGTCAGATCAAATTAAATAAAAAATTCGATAGGATTCAAATTCAGATCAAGTTCCATTAGATCCATTGGATATTTGGATCGGATTCAAATGTACCATGATTCGAATCTGATCTGATCCGTTTGAATCCCTACGAGGGAATTAAGATTTTAGAAATCAAATAAGTTAAAAGGTAAAATAATCACATAAAATAACATAAAGGTATATAATTTTGGGTTTTGGAAATATTTAAATAAATATTCTACGAATTTAATTAATAGAATGTTGACAATGAGGGCAAAGTATTAGAATCAAGAAATTCAAAGGGGCTGAGTATTACAACCCTCTAAATATAGGTGGCTTCTTGTAATAAGTAAATAATTCTCTCTACCAAAGAAAAGAATTCGTAGGCATAAATAAAGATGATAGCTTGTACATGGCAAATAGGAATGTCAATGGGTCTGGTTTGGCATGGGTTTGCCTAAACCCTAGACTGAACCTCTAGTGCCCCGACCTGACTTTAAAATGAATGATTCTCAAAATTAATTGGACCCTATAGGATCTAACCCAATACTAACCAGACCGTAACATTTCAATTGCATGTTTTAAATACATATTGAATACATAAAGTCCACTAATTTAAGTTAGGAAATTGTTTTATAGATTTTAAGGTGTCACTCTTTTCATTTAAAAAAAGAAGAAAATCAAAATTAATATGTAAATAAATCTTAAACTTTAAGGCTAGAAAGTTAGGAATTAAAAAATTAAAAAAAATACTTTATATATATGCAAGATATCATGACCCCTCAGGACTGGTCAGTCAAAATCTGAACCCGATTCAGGTTGAATAATCAAAACCCTAACCCAACCCTAAACCAAATAATCAGGTCAAGCCGGGTTTACCATTTAACTCTATCCTTGACATCCCCAAGGGCAAAACTGTTCAGAAGAATCAATAATAGTAAAAAACTAAAATTAAAAGGGTAAAATTGCCCCTTGAACAAAATTATAATTTTTTAGTTATTTTTCATTATTCACATAAGGTAATTAGAAGGTTAGAAATGCACATGTTCATTTGGAGCGGCATGGAGAAGTGCTTCTGAGAGAAAATAATTTTACAAAGAAAGAAAAAGAAAAAAAAAGCGAGAGCCGAATTACGAAAAGTACCAAATATAGCGGGATAGGGAAATTTGGTTTTGGAATTTAGGGCCACTTCGAGCCTTCGAGGTGTATTGCATATAAATAAAGAGGAGAGTTGGTTCGTTAACGGAATTGGATTTGCAGGTTAGCCTCGCTCGCTCCCTCGCTTAAAGATCTTCTGTGTTCGTTGCGTTACATGGCATATCGAAGAAAACAAGGGCTTTCAAAGGCATCGACCTTCAAAGAAGAAATTCGACACTCACCGGATAGCCCTTCTTCGTCTCTTGCCGCTCAAGCGATCCGAGCCTCATCTGCTCATCTTGAATCGTCTCTATCATTTGCTTATGGAGAATCTGCTCTTGCCTCCGCTCGCCGAGAATCAAACCGCCACCGATCTTCTCCGTCCAGACAGGTTGGTTTTGTTCTCAATCCTGTCTTTCGTTTTTTTGGAATTTTATATGTTAATGACCAAATGGATCTTCATACACGTTTTGAAATTTTAGGGTTTTCTTGTAGGTCAATGTTTTATTTGGAAAATTTTCTGGGTTTTCTTTCCGGAATATTCTGTATCATTGATTGAACGACGAATCTTGGATATATATTTTTATGTTTCGGCGAAAATTAACCTTTGGCCCCTTGGATGAAGGGTTATCAAAGTATCACATATTTGGATTTTTTTTATTAGGATTCTCCTTGTATTGGGTTGGTTACATTCATGGGTTTCTTTCCTTTTTTTTTTTTTATTTTCTATCTCGGCGATGAGATTGTAGGTAACCTCTGTAATGCAGTAATTGAGCTTATGAGTAGCCGAGTACAAGTATTATGATTATTTCCAGATTTCAGCATCTTAAATGTGTTATGGAGAGGGTTGAGATCTGATGGCAAACCGTGACCATTGTGCATCTTGTTTTTATTAAAGGTTTTGATCACGTAGGTTTTATTTCGAATTAGAGAGCTTACAAATTGGAACCTACCTGCCCTGCATCCATTACCGAATTCCATCCTGGCTATCCAGGGTTTTGGGAGGGATGGACTGGATACTGGCCTGACCTCCATGCATTTCTTTTGGCACAAAGTAGCATCTCTCAGTGGAAACGACTTACATCAGGTAGCTCAACCCCTTAGGCGGCGTTTTTGTGGTGAGCATGCTAAAGAAGGGCCAATACCCAATGTTGGTCCTGTCCGTATGGGGTCTTGGGAGGGGTGGACTGGATGCAGACCTAACCTTTAGTGTTTTCTTGCATGATATGCCTGCTCTTAGATTCAAAGCTGCGTTCTCACACTTATCACTTGAGATTTTTACCATTGCACCAAACTGTGGCCCTTTATGAGAATATGAGGTTATGCTACATGTATAAAAAGTGTCATGTTGTTTGTTATTCCATTAGTTAAACTTAAATCTATGATTAAATGGTTCACATAGAAACCTAACCAGATGTAGTGAAAGTCCTTATATTGTGCTATCATTACACGGTTAATAGAGAATTAATTACTTTGCAAAAGCCAAAAGTTGTGATCTTAGTATGGCCTTATCAGATTGATTTTTTGATTTCAAAATTTCACCGGGGGGGGGGGGGGATAACATACAGTATCAGCCAATACATATGGAATTTTGAACCTTGCTTGGAACTGGTTGCAGTTATTCCAACGTTTGTCCTACTGATGTTACCCCCAACCCTAACCTGCTCCATGCCATCCCTGTTTGGGGAATGCAAATAATTTATGATTTTACACCTTTACTTTTTTTTATAACATTTCCAAGGATTTATGCTGTCTTTCTACTTAAATGCAATTTAGTTTCCCTTTTCATTATTTTTTGGGGATGGGGGTGGGGTGGGTGCTATTTTGAGCTGCAATCATCCTTGTTATTCTCTGTGTTTCCCATTCCACACTCCTCCAGTCTATGTCATGGACATTTTTGAGGCATTGTTGTCAGACTTGGACTGGACATAAAACTGTTTTGGTGACTGAGTCACAGGTAGAACAGTTCAACCATCCAACTGATCTTTTTGACTTGCTCAAATAAAAAATAAACAAAAAGAAGAGAAAATTTATAAAATAGCAAATAATTTCACATTTGGTTTGGTCCAAGTCTGAACACACTATTTTGAGACAAAGGTGAGACTTAAGAATTTCAGGCACAAGGTATGGACAAACAATGGCATTCTTTGCCATCATTTCTTTTATCACTGGGAAATCAAGAGGATGAAGGTTAGGGGCAAGACGAAGAAGAATTGAATATGGAGTTCTGGATACAAAAGAAAAGAAACCCTCAAACAAGAAAATTGAAAAGCAAAAGGAAAAGAAACCCTCACATATGAAATGCTGATAAAAAAACTTCACATATGCAACATCCATTAGGGGCAGTGTTTTAAAAGTGCAAGGCGCAAAAAAGGCATAGGGGTCAATTTGCGCCTGAGGCACAAGGTGAGGTGCGTGCCTTTTTGAAGCAAGATGCAAAAATACAAAAAAAAAAACTAAAAAGTTAAACATATAAAACAAAATATAAACTAATATGTAAAGCATAATATAAATTAAGAAAATGCCAAAAAATTCAAAAAATAAAAAATATTAAACATAATATTAATAAAAAATATAAACTTAAAAATTAAAATAAATGTTTTAAAAAACCTATTATCTAAAATTAAAATACATAAACATAAGATGTAAAGCATATCAAATGAGAATTTAAAAATAAAATCAAACATATAAAACATTTTCAAGCATGTAAAACCTCTAATCTCTTTTTTCACTCAATTGCATTACTTCAAGTAGCTAATGTATTGTAAAACATATTACGTTCCTGATCATACGAGCCGCCTTTGTGCCACGCCCTTCGAGGCAAGCCCAAACAAGTCCATGGTAGGTCTTAAATTCTTAGTTTTTACACAAAAAGTAATGATTTTATAGTTTTAATTACTTTTTAAGAGGACATTTTATTAGGATGAATGAATGAACAACATTACCATGTTGGGGGTTCTCAGAGCTTCTCTTCACCTATTGAATCTGAATCTCTACTCCGTGAGCTAACCATTTGAACTCCTTTTCATTAGCAAATTTCCATATTCTGTTATTTTCCTTTTGCAACCATTCTATAACCACCATAGAGTATCCTTCAACAATAACTTGTTGTAGATGCAATTCCTTAGCTTTCTTTAGCCCAATGATTTAAAAGGTGCGCCTAGGCGCATAGGCGAGGTGCATTTTAGGGTATGCACCTCGCCCAGGTCCTAGGTGCACACCTAATGCCCCCGGACCCGCCTATGCCCCTTGAGGCTAGCTCGAACAAGTTTATGTTAGGGTTTTAAATTCTTATTTCCCACATAAATAATGATTTTATTACTTTAATTGCCTTTTAAGAAGATATTTTATTGGAATGAATGAATGAACAACATTAGCAAATAGGGGGTTCTTGGAGCAAGAATGCAATATGTTTATGTACCTTGAGGGGTGTGGTACAAAGGCAACTCATAGAATCAAGAATGCAATATGCTTTACATCACATTAGCTACTTGAAGTAATGCAATTGAGGAAAAAAAGAGATTGTGGGTTTTACATGCTTGAAAATGCTTTATATATATTCTCATAAAAAAATGCTTTATATATTTTCATTTATTTTTAAATTTTCATTTGAATACACTTTACATATATGTTTATGTATTTTAATTTTAGATAATAGGTTTTTTAAAACATTTATTTTAAAATTTAAGTTTATATTTATTATTAACATTATGTTTAATATTTTTGATTTTTTTGCATTTTCTGACATTTTTTTATTTTTAGCATTTTTTGTAATTTTGCACCTTGCTTGAAAAAGGCGTGCGCCTCACCTTGGCCTTGCGCTTTTTTTGCACCTTGTGCTTTTAAAACACTTCTTTAGCCCTTCCAATACTGCCATGGTTTCAGCTCTAAGAGAACTTCCCGCCCCCAATAAGTCTGGAGTACATTGCAATAACTTTCCCTTCCTCATCCCTGAAGGTTCCTCCAATACCTGAAGGTCCTTGGTTACCTTCACTGCTCCCATCAAAGTTTAATTTGATAAATCCAGGGGCTGGTTTTCATTTGGGCTGGAGCTTAATTAACCACCTGCTTCTAGTTTCTAATCATTACCTCCGTAGATATATCTTTAAACAACTCTAATGATTTTACCCACTGCACCACTCTGATAGTCTTTCTTGCTTAATTCGTCAATCTTCCAAGATGGTAGTATTGCCCCTATTGTTGCTAGGGAACACCAACATTCTCCAAACACCTACAAGGATCTTATAGTCCTGCCAAGAATTTTTTGTTGGTTCGTCACTTTGTCTCAGACTCAACACTCAAGTCCTGCATTTTTCATACTTTTTGATACAAGATTTTACCATCATACGGGGGTATGGCCTTTAACAAAAGGAAGAAAGGGAAAGGGTGGAAAAGCTGTCTTGAACGAAGGCAAAAGATTAAGACAGTTTGCGGTTGCCTTTTCCCCTTCAATGCTTCTTTAACTCTCATCATCATCCAAGTCTCATCCGAACTTATGGGGTAGGTTGGATGAATCCTGTTTCATCATCCATTCTTTTTAATGTCATATCCATTGTTAAATTATTTATGCTTAATCATTTCTTTTTACTTCTACCTACCCATGTCCTTTCTGATCTACCCATAGCCTTTCTTGCCCCTTCAACTTGCAACAAATCATGTCTTTTTACTGGTTCTGTTGATGGTCTTGTATACATGTGACCAAACCATCTTAGTCTATTTTTTCATACTTTATCACCTATTCATATGAATGACTATTTCTTATCCATTATTTTCTAGTTTTCCGCTGATCCATCTCAGCATATGCATTTTTGTTATGCTCATTTGTTGGACATGTTTCTTGACTGCCCAACACTTCACACTCTATACAGTATAACTGGCCTTACAACTATTTTATAGAATCTTCCTTTTAATCTAAGTGGTATTCTCCTATCACATAAAACTCTGGATGCGTCCCTCTATTTTGCCTATCTTGCTCATATTCTATGGGCAACATCCTCTTCAATCTTTCTCTCGTTATGAATTATCAAACCAAGGTAATAAAAAAGGTCACATTGAGTTATCTCTTGGTCTCCAATTCTCAGTGTACCCTGATTTTCAGTTATTATTATTAGTTTTAATCCTACTTCTTCTTCTTCTTCTTCTTATTATTATTATTATTGTTGTTGTTGTTGTTGTTGTTGTTGTTGTTGTTGTTGTTATTCAAAGGCATTTGTCCATAAGATAATTTTTGTATTTAATCTTTCATTAGTTTCATTAGATAAGTAGAACTGTTGTGCTACAAAAATATTATCATTCATCAAAAAAAAAATAATAGTTATGTGCTCAGAGACAAAAGGAAAGGGGAAGATGTGATTGCAGAGAAGTGGAGTATTTTGTTGCCTTTGTTTGAAACTTTGAATTGTTTTAGAGACTGATATGGTGATTTGGTAGCTGTATAAACTATGCTAATATGTATGCTTCTAGGACGCCCTTTGAAGGTTCCCCTTATCCACCCCAAGATGTACCAGCCATGCATTGACATTCTCATTTGAGGGGGATGTCTAGCAAATTTTTTATCTAATGTCTTTTATTGAGAACTATTGCCAACCTCCTAAGGCAATGCATCGAGCTCTGAGAATAGAAAGGATTATAAGAGGTCTCAGGTTTAAGTGGTTGATGGATTTTTTTTTTTTTTTTTGGTATTCGATGCTATGCACCATACTTCCCCCTGACCCCTTTTTCTCCAAAGTGCTGGTTGCGGGATTTGATTCCGCGTCGACGCTGGAACAAATCAACTAACACACCAACGAGCCAGCCCTCATTGATAGTGGTTGATGGATTTGGGATAAGGTTTATCATTCTTAAGAGCATATCTTTACATTTCACGTGTTCTATTAACTGCTTGTTATCTCAACTCAACCATAACCCCAACTAGTGGGGCTTGGCTTATGTGAATACTCTTCTGCCATTTTGCTATGCCAAGACCCATGCTTCTAACAAATTTAAGTCAATCATTTCTTTTGATTTCAGGCCAATGTTTTCTGTGCTCTCCTTTCTCTTTTAGATCCTTCTATTTGCGCTTAATACTTTTTCTCACTACTGCAGTCACTAATTGTCTATGCACACAACCAAACCATCTCAGTTGACTTCATCTTATCTTCCACTAATTGGGGGCCACTCCTAAATCCTTTCCAAACCATTCCCGTTCTCTCCTTTCTCATCTATTTAGCATCTTCATCTTAGCTATACTTTTTTTTTTTTAAATATGTTAGGTGGGGCATAAATGCAAAGACTATAGGTTGACCTTGTGAAATCTTGTTTTCAGAGGTTAGTGACTATATGATTATATATATTTAAGATGGGTAGTTGGTTATGCAACATAATTTGATGTATCAAATCATTTAGCAGTTAGGAGTTGGCAATTGCTCCCTGTGTTGATGCATGTTCAGCAGGGATGGGGATGTATTTGATTATGGAAGAGGTTCTTATCACTATACTTGTCAAATTTGTGAGAATGCTTTCTGCAAGATCTAGAAGCCAAATATTGTTTTCTGATTCAAGTGGAAGTATCTGTATCCTTGCGAACTATCTCTTGCTAGTTTCTGTAGTTAAAATGAAGAATTCTTTTTCCTTTTTTCTTCTAGACTAGATACTAATGGCTTGGCATGCTTGTCTCTGTAGGATTCACCATCCTATGAATATACGTCCATGAAAAGTCCAAATGAATCAAAATTTGGATTTTGGGGTGTCCTAGCCAGAAAAGCTAAATCGATTCTTGAAGATGATAACATGACTAACCAACTTGAAACTCCTGGTAAAACAAGGCCACAAATGCATGATATATCAACAGGTGGACAGGTATTCTAGAGATAGCATCTGAGAGTTTATGGAACTTGATATTTGTTTTTTGTTTTATTATCAATTGCTCAAGTTAAATTGTTAATGCCTTTGGTGTTGATTAATGGTTGAAATATGAAGGCCATGCTAAACCTCCATCTATTCATCATCATCATCAGATGTTGAAAAATGCTATACTAAACTTCCATCGATTCAGATGTTGAAAAATGTTCTGGATTTTTTTTTTTGTTGTTTTGATCAGTAAAAAATGTTCTGCAATTTTATTCAGGCCTATAGAATTGTACAAGTTCTAAGTCATGAAAACATCATGGAAACAATGGAAATCATTCATTGGTATTCCCTCTTGGAATTTCTCATATACATAGAAATGATGTACGTATCTTGTTTTATCAGCAGACAACATGCATTGCTAATAGGCAGAAAAGATGTTATATGGTGTTGTCAAAATGAAAATGTTCAACAATGAGATTAGCTTAACAAGATCATGGATATAGTTTAATAGCGTGAGACTGGATAATGAGCATGGTCTCCCCAAGTTTTGAAACCAGACTTGCATAAACTTTGTGCGTATGTGTGTGTGTGTATTAATGAATCCTGGTTCTACTCCTGAGTTCAATGACATTACTTCCACTGTTCTGGACACATTTTCAGTACTGATATAGAAAACTACAAAGATCCAAGAGAATGGTTCTGGTTCGGTCCTTTTATGTCATTTTCTTAAAAGGCAATGAAAATAACTCCATAAAGACTTAAAATTACCATTAACATGCATATTGTGGCATATCAGGACAAAATTCTGTAATTATGCTTTTCTTTTCCCCTTTTTTAATGGATATTCAAACACTTCATGTCACAAAGAGAAAATTAAACAAAAAGTGTATGGCCCAAAAAGGGCCAGAGTCGCCAGATCATCTTTACATAAGAGTTTTCAGAGGAAAAAAGTATCACTTACATAAAACATCATCCACTGAAAAATGAATATATTCCTCATTTGGAACTTGGAAGGATCTAATATGCCACCTATAAATGGATAAGCTCATGAATGTTTCCGGCTAGTTTGCTTTTCTTGAAAAATGCTGGCATTACTCTATTTCCTAAGGGACCAAGAAGCTAGTAGACCTCCATATTGTCTTCCCTCTTTTGGTTGGAGAAGAGAATGATGTAATAGAGAAAGTCAAACATCGGCTGGTACCTACTTGATGCTATTGAAAACCAAAAAGATAAGTATTCAAATTACATTCCTGTATTAATTTTATTGATGAAAAAAGGGAAGAAATACAAACCTTCTGCTCTACAAGGGATGGGGAAAAGCAACTTGTCTTGCAATATAAGGACTAGAAAATGACAATAGGGAAAAAATGCAAAAAATCAGCACACAAGATTTCTGTTCCCCAAAATAGATACCAACTATGTTAAGCCCATTACCCATAGATTTGGCAGATCATAGTATACATCTGAATGAGATGAAGAGATATATAGCCTTTCTCTTCATGCGTACAAGGCTCTCAGTTTCCAGAGACTACCTTGAATATCATTCATCCTCCTAATAATGTTATGTGATCTCCCTTTATAGTATTGGCCTCCAACTCACCTTTAGAAACACCAAGTACGTTTTATAGTTCCTGATTTCAGTTAACTTGGTCCATGAGCTGAAACAGTGTAAATGGATACCAACAAAAAATCAGAGTTTATAACATGACTTTTCTTCCCTTTAATTTTAAATGCTTTCATAAGGAATGCTGACAAACATTTTTTATGTCTTTAAAATAGTTTTCAATATTCCAAATCAAGCAGTTTCTTTGTTGTCAATTGCTTTTTATTTATCACCTATTTTTATGACCTTAGTTTCTTATTCTTTTATCTTCTAATTGCAGCTTCATCAGTCACACCAATCACCAAAGGGCTCTCGGAAAATAGAGAGTCCCAGATTTCAGAAGGGTTTAGATGCAATTACTTCTTCTCTTAATTACATTGGTGATACGATAGGAAATGCTTTTGAAGTAAGCTTCTTTTCAGAATTTCTTTCATGATGGTTTAAAAGTTTTGGGGATTTAATTATTATGTTTGCCTTTATGTTTATGTCTAAATCCCTCAATTCATCAGTTCAACTCTTCATGTTCTTCTGTTTTTCACTTATATTTTTCTTGATGAGGTAGTTTGTTTTTGTCAGAATTCCATCATCTTTTAATCCTTGTCCCAAGTCCCAACTATATGGGGTCAATACATGAATCCTGTTTCACAATTCTCTTCTGTCCAGTGCCACTGTTCTTATAATTCTGATGTAATTTGACCCTTTTATGATCAGCTAATACAATTTTACCTTACCTTCTCTCAAAAAAAAAAAGTTCAGAATAGTGGCATTATGTCTTGGTGCCGACACTTTAATTTTTGGTAACTATGTCTATTTAATTAAGCCTTGTTCCAATTATATGGGGTTAGCTGCATGAATCCTGTTCTTCCATTTTGCACTGTTTAATGTCCATTGTTAAATTATTAGCACTTAAATCATTTCTAACTACTTCAACCCATGTTCTGCCCTTGGCTCTTCAGACCCTTTTTTTGTTGATAAATGAGAGTAATTTTATTGAAAGAGTATCAGAAATACATGCAGCCTAGGAAGAGGCACGAGATGTTACCTCCCCCAAGGACTGAATCATAAGCACTAAAACATGCCCAAACCTGAGAATCAAATTACAAATTAGCCCAAAACAGATCACCCCTTGACACCCCTTGCTTGGCCAGAGAATAAGCCATTACATTTGCTGATCTGCTAACCCACTGGAACCTAACAGTCACATTTCTTGTCATCCATTTAACTTTCTTTACCAGATCCCTGTAGCCCCAACAAACTGTGTCTGGGCTATTCAGCCAGCCCAATACTACCTTAGAGTCCCCTTCTACTAACAAATTGCTCACTCCTGATTGACTAGCCATCTGTACTCCTTGTACCACTGCTAGTAGCTCTGCCCTTACAGAATCACCTTCACCCACTGGTTCTGAGAAAAGAGACAACATATTGCCGTCTTTGTCTCTCAAAATCCCTCCAATTCCAGATGGCCCTGGGTTGCCTTGGCAGCTACCATCAAAGTTCAATTTTACCACTCCATTCGGTGGGGGTTTCCATTCAACTTGTAATTTGTTCTTGGTGGAGCCTGTAGAAGCCACTGCTTCCCAATTTCTCCTTAAGTCACTTGGCTCTTCAGACCCTTGTGACAGATTACTTCTCACTAATGCTGTAAATGATCTTTTCTGGACATGACTAAGCCATTTTAGTCTACTTTCTGTCATTTTATCACTTATTGGAGTTACTCCTAGGTTCCTTCCAACAAGTTCATTTCTGATCCCACCATTTCTAATTTTCCCACTCATTCATCTCAACATTGTATTTAAGCCACACTCATTTTTTGGACATGCTATTTCTTTCCCTTCTTTGATCATCAAGGATATGCTATTTCTTGACTTCTGAATAATCAGCTCTAAATAACATAACTGACCTTATAACTTTTTTTTTAAATAAAATTTTCATTTTAGCCCAAGTGGTATTCTACTATCAGTAGGACTCTGGATGGACCCTTCCATTACATCTAAAGATCTATAAGTTTCAAATATCAATAGTAGTGTAGTATAACTAATGTAATCAATTTTTATCATCACCCTGAACAAAACAATTAACATTAAGTGAAAAGTGAAACAACAGGCAAAGGAAGTGGGAACTACCTTTTGATGGATTCAATGATCTGCTAATAGTTTAGCTGACAAAGGGATCAATGGGGAACATTGTTTCTGGGCTCAGTTGTAAGATCAGAAACAAAATGTGTTCTTCGGATCACTGGTGTTGTTTACAGGGGGGTAACCAAGGATATCCTTGTTGTACATGACTACCTGTTCACTTATCAATTAATTAATAAATTTTCTGTTACTGATAAAAAAAGTTTAGCTGACAAAGTAACTAAACAGGGATGAATAGGGATCACCTGTTTTTTAACTGTCAAATTTAATTAACAAGGAATCAGCTGTTCTGAACGGTTAACTTGTAGTGGTTGCTGAAAAATGAGAAAAAAGGGGTTTAGGTGTCATGTGCCTTTACCTAATTGGTTCTAGGCCTGTAATTGGATTGAACTCGGATCAGATGTACATTAATCCTACTTCAATTCAGCAATGAAATTCTCTCATCCAAATTTGACCTGAAATCCGATAAGATGCATTGGGGGTAAATTCGAATTCGAGGTCGATTGAATGCATTGGATTTTGGATATCATCCAAGTTTGATAGAACGGAACAAAAGAGAAATTAAGGGTCTAGGGGATGGGAAGAAAAAAAAAACCTAGCATAAGAACCAAAAGTAAACCCTTGAATACCAAGTTGAAAATAAAACCCCAGCAGATAGAAAACAAAGAAAATATCTCTAACCTGTTCATCATTTTGAGGTGCCATTGGTGGGTCCCAAAACAAGCTTGTGCATCATTTTTAGAGGTCATCCACCTATTCCCACTTTCTACTCCGGTTGCTGCAACTTTTCCTCGCTTTAGACATCATATGAGTTATGAGATAGGGAGAGAAAAATCCACCATGAAATCGAAAAATAGGTGGAGACAATTATCATTTTTTAAGGTCATTTATTTGTTCTCATTTTTTGCTTTGACATCTGCAACTTTTCCTGGTTTCTATTCTAAGACACCATGAAATAGAACCAAAACACTATTAACAGCGGCAAGGGTTAGGAGAGAAGAAATGCCATTTCACATCTCAAGCAACGGCTATTAAACAATGCACACTAAAAGTTTCACGGCTGATGGTAGGTGAAGAGAAGATTGAAGTGGTTTTCATCAGTGGAAGGGGTTGGGAGGGAAATGAAATGAATAGGATTTAGGTTTCTCTTTTTGAATGCTGATGGGAAAAGGAAATCAGGGAAATTAGGCATTAAGATTTGAGGAAATGGATTTCCTCTTTTACCCTTAGATTTTATTATATATTACAATACTCCAAAGAGTTGATTTGAAAATTGTGTTGGGTGGTTTAGATTTTTAGTATTATATATTTAATAAATTAATAAATAAGCATAGTAATTGGAGTCAGATTTTTATCATATCAGATGGGGATGGGGGTTACATCCAAATTTAATCCGATAGTTATAGAGCACATCCCATTCTAAGATAATTGAATCAGATGTTGGATCGGGCCATAAATTTTTAGGTATTATTGATAGGCCTAAGTGGTTTAACTTAGACATAAAAATTAGACTTCATTAGATAAAAAAATAGAGAGAGAGAAAGGAGAGAAAGGAGAGAAAGCCACATAACCAAGAGGAGAGAGTAGGAAGAGGGGGGGAGAAGAGAGAAAGAGAGAAACATAGAACAAAGTAGGGAAAGGGAAGAGAGTGAACAAGAGAAATGGAGGAGATAGAAAAGTGGGAATGAGGGAGAGAAGAGGAGATATAAGAGATGAGAGTGAAGAGAGAGGAGAGAGTAGGAGAGGAGATTACAGAGAAAAGAGAGAAGAGAGAGAGAATAGGAAGGAGAGAGAGGAAAGGGTAGAGAAAGTTGAGGAAGAGTGAGAGTAGAGAGTTCTGGTGTAAATCCATCCCCCCTAAAATAAGAGCTTTTTGTTGGGAAGTAGTTCACGGGAAGATTAGTACTTTGGATATGCTACAAAAGAGAAGATCCTATTCATGTCTCTCTCCAAACTGGTTTGTCTTGTGTAGATCTAATAATGAGAGTTGCTTGCACTTACTGATCACTTGTTCTTTTGTTGCAGATATTGGGAATTGGTTTTTTTTTCCTTGTTTGGGTGCAGGTGGATTCTTTTTTTGATCAATAACTGAAAACTTTTATTAAAGATGTGAAATTTTAAATACAAGAAAGGGGGAGATAAAATGTCTTAACTCCCCACCATTAGAAAACAAGAAAAGACTTAGAAATTAGCCCAAAATAAAGAATCCCTATTCACCCCTTGTTTGGCTAGTCCATCGGCAAGTAGGTTGGCATTTCTTTTCACCCAACTGTACTTCACCACAATACCCCTTGTAAGCCATTTGAATTTCTTCCTTTCATTGCTAAACCTCCACATGCTATTGTTATCTTCCTTTAGCCATCTAATTACTACCTCTGAATCACCTTCAAGGACCAAAGTTTTGATGTTCAGCTCCCTAGCCTTTTGGATTCCTTCCAGAGCCGCAAAGATCTCAGCCCTGAGCGAGTCTCCTTCTCCAATAGGGCGTGAAAACAAAGCTAAAATAAACCTCTCATTCCTGAACACACCCCCAATTCCAGAAGGACCTGGATTCCCCACACCACAACCATCAAAATTCAGTTTTATAAATCCAAAAGGTGGGAAAGTCCAAGAGGGGCTAGAAATCCTCTTAAATTGGACAATGTTAGCTATCTCTTTCCAGTTTCTAATCAAGTCAACCAATGAAAAATCTGTGAATAGGTCCACAAATTTCATCCAATGGACCACCCTTATTAGAATCAGTTATATTAAGCTCTCAAAGGTTCTTTCCTTGTCTGAAAAAAATATGTAAGTTCCTTTCTTCCCACAGTGACCAACAAACTGCTGCCTTGATGCATCTCCACATAATTCTCCCCCTTTTCTTAGGCCAACTAAAGAAGGAGAAAACAAGGTTTGCACATCCACAGGGGGAACCCAATTATGCCTAAAAAGGGAAAAACCCCACTCCCAAATAGTCATAGCAAAAAGGCAAGTAACCAAAAGGTGGTAGCCCGTTACCTTATTAACTTTGCAAAGGGAACACCTATTAGGGGATAAACAAAGATTCAACCTCTTTCTTTGAAGCAAGTCATTTGTGTTGATTCTTTCTAGGAAAGTTTCCCAACAAAACTACCAACCCGAGGAGGAATGAGCTTGCTCCATATCTCGATAACAAGGAAGGGCAGCCCAAGAGGAGCATGAGGCTGAGGTAAGGTATCAAAGAACAAGGCACAGGAGAAGGTGTTTGAGGGAGAGGGGCCCCAAAATCTAATGTCTTCCTTAGAGGAGTTAAAAAAAAAACATTTTCAAGGATATTTAACAAGGTCACCAAAGATCCCAAATCTGTATCCTCGATGGCCCTTCTCAAACCTTTGTTCCACCCGAACCCAGAAGAAGAGTCTGATGGAACAGGAAAAGAAGAGATAGCTTCATTTTTGAGGTCTAACAGAGCATACAAAGAGGGAAACTGTTCCATCAGAGGGGAATCCCCAACTGAAGTTTGTTCCCAAAACTTTATTAGGTTACTTGAGTTCAAGCCATACTTGATACAAGGGGGGAAAGCTGGAAGGATGTCATGGATGGCTGTTCAAGGAGATGCACGTATAGTCCTTGTCGGAATTCTAGGATCCCAACCATTGTCTTTGAGCCCATGAATTCTAGCCACAACCTTTGTCCATAATTTATCATTTTCCAAAGGAAACCTCCACAACCATTTCCCTAGCAAGGCCATATTTCTTTTCTATAACTACTTCCCAACCCACTCTATGGCCCCTTCTCTCGTCACCTGGCTTCCACAAGAAATCCCTCTCATCAACTTTTCCAACCTATTTGAGACCTTTATGGGGATCTTAAACACAAACATGAAGTAAATAGGTAAATTAGCTAGGGTATATCAGAGTTATCCCCCCCATTTCTCCTCCAAGAAGCAAGTCTCTTTTCAAATCTTTTCGCCATCGGGTTCCAAACACTTTCTTTCTTGGGATTATCTCCTAAAGGGAGGCCTAAATAATTCAAAGGCCAATATGAAACTTCACAACCTAGCACACCTGCACATTCTCTTAAATCCCTCTCATTCATGTTCACCCCCACGATACAACACTTATCAAAGTTCATCTGGAGATTAGACATTTGCCCGAAGAGTTGTATTGCCAATTTTAAACTCCTAATCCAATTTATGTCACTGCCTTCACAAAAAGGATAGTATCATCTGCAAATTGCAAGTGTGCGAGTGGAACTTCCTTCCTTCCTACTCTCTAGCCTCTCAGTAAATTCCTCAAATTAGCGCTTTGAATCAGTCTCCCAAGAACATCTACAACCAAGGTGAACAAAAAAGGGGAAAGTGGGTCACCTTGAAGAAATCAACCACAGTTCCATTAACCAAAATAGAATAATGCCAGCTCCTTCTTGGGTGCAGGTGGATTTTACTAGCAAAAGGTTAATATGCTATTTGATCCTTCTACGTTTACTTGGCCAAAAAAGAGGGGAAGAGTAATGTGGAAGTGTGTTAGAGTAGCCTTGGTTTGGACCATTTGGGAAGAGAGTAACACAAGAATATTCTCAGAAAAGGAAAGAAGCGAGGAAGAGATAAGGGATTGTGTGTTGGACATGGTGCTTCACTAGATCAAGACTTTGAAGCTGTTTTCTTAATTCTCCTCTAATGATATTTGGCGGAATTGGGAAGTAGTTGGTAGAAGATCTTCTAGAAGGGAAAGAGCAAGTATTGCTTGTCTACCTCCACTTAAAGGCTTTGTGAAGTCGAACTTTGATGGGAGTAGCAGGGGTAATCCAGGCCCTTCTTGTATAGGAGTGGTCTTGTGAAATTTAGAAGGTGAACTTATAGCTTTGTTTTTGGCCCTGTAGGGTTGGGGATTCTCTCAAGCCAGAACTACTTGAGGCATTACAAGGAGTACAGATTTCTAATGAATATAACTAATGTGGTGATTAAAGGGGACTCAAAATTGGTGGTGGGTTGGCTAAAGGATCCAGAGTTGTGTAATATGGGTGTTATAGGAGTGAGATGAAAAAAATTCAAATGGATATTACTAGGAGCATGAACTTGAGGATACAATTGGTAAGGAGATTGGCAAATGGCATGGCGGATGCTTTAGCCAAGCAAGGGTGAATAGGGCTCGTTTGTTTTGGGCTTATGTAATGTTTTTTTTTTTATTTAATATAGAGACACAGTATCTTGTGCCTCTCTAAGGGATGCTTGTAATGTTTATTACCTCAAGTCTTATTAAAATTTGAAGTCATTTATCAAAAAAAAAAGAGTGAAAGTGGAGAGGGAAACACAAGGTGAGGAGAGGGTGGCATCCTTCAGTGTTTTTATGTAATACTTGCACAAAAGAAAAAGAAAATTATCATGTACTACCAAAAGAATTCCTTTCATATAGCTGTGACCCAAATGGATATCTATATAACTCAACCAAACTCGATCCATATTTGCATGAACTAATGGCTGACTCAGGTGTACTGTGTCGTATTGTCAGGTACCTGATACACCAAATAAAGGGTTTGGGGGTTTAGCCCATTTTCTGGGGGTAGGCCTACCTAAGACCGACCCCCCCGACCAATTAAAAAAACTAAAACAAAAAAAAAAGTGGGTTCAAGCTTTGAGCCTTGGGCTGACTAAACCCATATTCAATCTAAATCTTAAATGGGTGGATTTGGGTGGGTTACCACTGGATGAGTTGGATGGGTCAAGTGGGTTGGGACAGAAAATGCCACTTGAGTTCACGGTTTGGTTTGGTTGCAGACTACCAATGAGGCAAAACTGACTTCAAATTTTTGTTTTGCTTGATGTTGGTTTAACCAAACAGAAATCCATGTTTGAAGTCCTGGATGAACAGCTAACATTTTCTCTAATTTATATACTTGTAGCTGTAAATTCCACATGCCTTTCCTTCTTAACCGAGTCTGTTGTCATCTTCATTTGCTGAATCAAATCTAGTGTAAAGAAATCTTTTTCTAGTTCTGTCAGCCAGCTGCCAACCACTTCTCTAGTTTCTTTCCTTCCTTGAACTACCACTTTTGTTAGTCATGTATCCATTTAAATCATCACCATCATACATGCCTTATCCCAACTATATGGGGTCGGCTACATGAATCCTGAGTTATTAAGTTTTATCATTTTTGAAACCGAAACCAACTGATTTTAGAAATGACCATCTTGGGTCATGTCAGTCCGGTTTGGTTGGTTTACAAGATCTTGTGAACAGATCTAATTGCCACCTCTATCGGTCAGTTACCAATAAATAAAATAAAAAAAAAATTACATCAAGTGAGTTATCAAATTTATTTGATATTTTGAGACCTATTTGCTATGTCTTAACTGTTTATTGTTTGATTTGTTTCATATTTCATTTTATCCTTTTTTGTCTACAAAATTGGGGATTAGGTTTATTTTCTCATCATCATTAGATAAGCATCCCATTAGCCTACTGCCTAATTTGTACTTGTCCTTTGTTTTTCACCAATTGTACTGTTCTCCTCTGCAGGAGGGTATTTCCATAGTAGAGAATAAGACTGCAGATATTATCCAAGAAACACGTAAAATAAATATGCGGAGAAAGGCAAGCGGCTCCTATGCACAGAGTCCAACTGCAAATGCGTCCTCTTCATTGCAGCAACCCCAGATGCAAACTGACCTTGAAATCCAACTGAAGGCATCCCGCGACGTAAGGTGGCAACTGTGTATCACTGGATCAATAGTGGAAAAATTTTGCATGCTTTGTTTGCTTTTCTTCCACTCAAATTAGTTATAAAATTGCCAGACAATCAAATTTATGAGCTCAGCAGTATGTTTGATTTGATTGATACTTGTGCATGCAACTTTACTAAATCTTGTGTGCCACTGGTTAAAACCTGTTCATGAACTACACCTGATGATAGTAGAGGTGCTTGGTTGTGGACCTTCACCATCAAAATGTCTCACAAGTTTATCCATGTCAATAGACTGACCGTTTTTGAGTTCTGCTCTTCTTTTCAGCTTTTGTTAGTGTGGTTTAGTCTCTGGTGTTTTTTTTGTCATTACCAATATCCTTTTTAAGGTTAAATGGATTTTTAAGGTATTTCTATTTTCTAAAATTTTGGCTAATCTTAAACTCTGCGCTGTAATTGCAGAGAACAGCTACATGGACACTCACCAAGTCTAGGCAATTGATCACTTAGGCTCAAAGATGCAATCAGCAGGCCATGTTATAAGTGATATTTGATAATGTGTAAAGAACACATTTAATGGCTTGCTTGCTTTTGTTATGATATTCTGAACTTACGAAAGCCCTAGATCTTTCCATGAAATGAATTGAGTGCCCAAGCATTAGGACTACTTTATTGCTTGTATATTCTCAAGTGTTTTGTTGATTTTGCTACACCTACAAAGTGCAAAGTCTTTATTATAGTTGTATTTTTTTCCTTTTTATGGAGTTTCACTTAAAACTTTACATGCTTCTGCTTATTTTCTTTGTTGCTATATGTTAATTTTTGTCTTTCAAATGCATCTCTCTGTTGAAATGCATGATTGGCCCTCTTTTTTGAGTTGCAGGTTGCAATGGCAATGGCTGCCAAAACTAAGCTTCTTTTACGTGAACTGAAAACTGTTAAAGCAGATCTTGCTTTTGAAAAGGCGCGATGTGCCCAGCTGGAGGAGGAGAACAGAATTCTTAGGCAGAGCCATGAAAAGGGAGACAACCCTGATGATGATGATCTGGTATGTTTTTTATGATCATAATTTTATCAGTAACTAAACAATTATCGAAAAAAAATCAGTAACTGAAACTTTGTTCTGATTTATGGCATTTCTTTATGAAGTTTGCTTTTTTCTATGCTTAGTAAAATGGTAAACATCAAGCTTGTACAGTAAGTTACCATTACATGGGACTTACAAAAGGTGTTGGACATATAAAACCAAGATATTATATATGATTCATACAAGGAATTAAAAGAAAAGTAAAAACAAGGTACTTTTCTGAAGTCCTTGTCCTAAGCACTATTTCAAGGGAAGAAGCTCAGATGTCCTAAGGGATTTTCTCCTCAGATTACATGCTATGTTATTAATATATCAAGGCCATGGTTGGACAATGTGTAGGTCCTGTAGGATATGGAACCTAACGTAAAAATATTTTAGCATCCGACAACAAATATTACCGTTGTACAGATCTCCAAGTATGGCTCACACAATGGCCAGTTGAAGTACAGTATTCGTAGCCTTGTTAGCTGTCTAGATTTTTGTAGTCACCCTTGCCACCATTTCATGCTAAAATCTTCTACAAATCTGTTAAGAGGATGGTGCTGAATATGCAGTATGTAAAGAATGTGTTAGATGCATTTTAAGAAAGTAGGGTACATACAAATACGCCCCTTCCCTCTCTTTTGGATGCATTATAATTACTAGCAAGTAACAAGTTCACTGGGACTTTTTTTTTGATAAATAACAGAGACGTAGTTCACTGGGACTTCTTTTTCTTATTCATTGGTGTAGGATGATTAATTGATTTATATAACTAACATGTTTGACTTCCTAGAGAAAGACCCAATGATTAATTCATAGGGAATTCCTAATATAATTAATTCATTAATATTTAGCTGCAGTTTACACATTTGGCTAATTTGATGTCATGTATGTTTATCACTAGTCAGCAATATTTGATTTATCATGAGTTAGGCTATATTTCAATATCACTTGGTTCATTTTGAATGTTTGGTTATTAATAAAAAATTATTACTTGCTTTATATACTTGCATAGTTGCATACATTATGAATGTTTGGCAAAATATGGGATTGAGAATCTGAAATTAGCAGGCTCTGCAACCATAATTGCTTTTTTATTTTTTCTCCAAGGATTTTGTGGCACTGCAAGCAACTATTATTGCATTGAACCTTGACATACTCTGATATTATGTTTGCATCCTAGATACGGCTCCAACTTGAAACACTTTTGGCTGAGAAGGCTCGTTTAGCGCATGACAACTCGATATATGCCCGTGAAAACCGCTTCCTAAGGGAAATTGTGGAATACCACCAGCTCACCATGCAAGATGTTGTCTACGTGGATGAAGGCATTGAAGAGGTCACAGAAGTTTGTCCCATCTCAATCCCCATGTCGTCATCCACAGAAGGACGTTCCATCCCCAAACCGCCTCCGCCTCCACCCCCTCCCCTACCCCATGAATTGCTTCCGAATGTAAGCCCCGTTTTGACCAAGGACATCTTCCCTGTGCCCCCAACGCCTGCAGTGGACACACAGGTTACCCGCGGTTTGGCCTCATCAAATTCCTTCCCACCTTTTCCTGTGGATGAACTGAAACGACAGTCCTCTGTTTCATCTGTCTGAACCAAAGTTGCCTTTTGTTTTCATCGGGGGTTGATCATTGGTGTATGTAACATTATTTTTAAATTATTTCATTTTTATTTCTGTGCTTTTTCTTATTGTATTTTATCATTCTTTTGGCATCTGGAACTGTGTATTAGAATTTTGGGTGCTTGTTTTACTGTAATAATATGATAATGATCTGGTTGAGTGGTTGTATCTCATGGCTTGATGTGGGCTTACCCGTGACTTAAACGCAGTATTCGTGATCCGTCCCGTCTAAGCTTGTGTTCTAAGACCCCACCCTTCGAAAATAAATTTTCTTTTTGGGTTGAATATGGATCTTCATTAACAAGAAGAAAAATGCCCACAATCCACTGTATTTTCATCCCTTGTTCCAATCCAATGAATGGTCGTGATTGAATGCTTGGTCTAATTTTATTTCACTGCCCGGTGTCATTTGGAAGTCAAACGGCATGGTAATTGTAATTGTGGTTTCTAACTTCGGTTTGGTGTTGGATTTTAATCCTTAAATTGATTTCAAATGTATGTAAAAATGGAGCTGAAATCAATGTTTTAAAAGGCGTGGGAAGTGTACGCCTAGAGGTGCTCCCAAAACGCCCTTGGCAAATGCCAGAGGCGCTGACACCTCTGAGGTACTCTTCTTGCGCTTTTTTCATAAGTCGTGTTAGAGGCATATGCGGTGTCTCATGCACATCTTATATAAAAGGACAAAAAGAAAGAAGAAAAAGAGAAAAGGAAAGGGAAGGGAAGAAAAGATGAGGGGAAAGAAAGTGGTTTGCCCCCTGCCCCTTCGACTGGGGGCTTCGCCCCTTAGGCCCTCTCGCCCTTTTTCGAAGTAGCTCAATTTGTTTTTTTGAGTCAGGCTCTTTCTCCATTTTGTTCGCTCGCCTCCGTTTTGACAAAGATGGCCCCTTTTAACTAATATTATGCATCTTTATTTTTTTTAATATAAAATATTTTTATTAAAAATAAAGAAAAAATGAGATCTCCCATTATTTTTCATCCTCCTCCTGACCCCTCTTAAGGAGGTTTACGCCTCCTGTGTTCAGGAGGCTTACACTTCTTGTGTTCTGAACTACGCCTCATGCCTCTAGGTAGTGGAACGCCTCGCGTCACGCCTCCGCGTTTTAAAACATTAGCTGAAACTACTAAAATTCTGAATCCAAATCTGATTTCATGCTTAACCGCCAATAACCATGTGTAATCTAGTTGGTCAATTGCCATCCTCCCGTTAAGGAAGCGTCAGTTGTCTTAAATGAATTTGGGAGCGTCAGTTGTCCTACCCTGCCACTCTATTGAGAGCCATGTTTGCTGTCAAATGATAGGATAATTATTTTATTTTATTTTATTTTTGTTGCCAGATCTTTTTCATCTGTTCTTAATCTTTGCACGAAAGCAACCCTTTGTGGTGCAGTTAAATGGTTATTTACATGGCCGAAGCCACCAAATCATCTCACCGTTGTCCTTTTTGAAGTTTGTCCCCCGCTGTACTTGATAGTTCTATCCTTCTTGGGACAGCTGGATCATAGTTTTTAAAACTGACCCAGAGACCAAACCGGTCAGGGGTCCGGTCACGGGGTCGAACAGTTGGCCCGTTTTGACAAAAATAAAAAATAAAAAAAATGGTCAAAATCGTTCGAACGGTTCAGACGGTTAACCGCCCAGCTCAACGGTTTACTGACCAAAATCAACGGTTTTTGAAAAAAATCCGATTTTGAGGGAAAACAGAGCTGTAAACCTTACCAGTTCTTGGTTTTTCCGATCTGACCGTCCAGTCCAGTCCAATTTTGAAAACCATGAACTAACTGCTACGGCCCTCGCACTTGCACTTGCAAATTGCGACAGCTATTTTTGGCATAAATTCATAATCCATGACAACATCGCCAATACCCGATATAAGAAAAATTACTTGCCAGTACATTTTGTAGGAAGAATAAAATGATCCTTTGTTCAGGATATTTGGCATAAACCACGACCTATTTCCCTTTTACATCTTGCAAGTTGTGCAATAGATTGTGGCTGAAACAGTCCAATCAGGATAGGAATTTTAATTAAGAAGAAGGCCTATGGTGATCTATCCTCATATAATCCAAGTTCGAAAAATGCCAACTTGGAATTGATGCCAATGGTATTGGTATATAAAATGGGGGTATTTGACATTTGAATGTTTATAGGTCTGCAATAGAATTCAGAAATCTCAATGGGCATGTCGGTACTTATCCGTAAACTTAATTGTACGTGTTTATTATCAATTCAGCGTTGACATGTTCTCGGGGCTATTTCATAATGGCACAAGTGGATCAATTGAATGACTTTTTGAATTTCTTTTAGTGAATAATAAATCATTAAGCGGGTTAGTTACTTTGATGGCTAAATTGTATATTCTGTCAATTACTACTTAGTTCAGCCGCACCGACTATGATCAAACCTCAATGACGCTTAAGAATTTGCTTCATAAATGCTCAAGACCAACTTGAATATCTTTCACTATAATCAAATCAACCTGTATATATATGTATATATATAATAAGACCCGAAGACCCATTTATCTTAAAGTTTGACAATTTCCCAAAAGAGCAACGGATCCATGAGATACTCATGATTACAGCGCATATGAACATAAAGCCAGTCATCCTTTTTCATAGCACCTTCAGTAGATTTCCTGAAACGGCGTAAGAATATGGTGATGCAAAAACAATACATTCAGAATTTCTCAGGTGGGAATGATGTGATCCAGTGAAGAAAGCTCCTCTGAAGAAGGGTTCCCAGCTTCAAAATATCGAGTCTTCCTCTTCAATGAAGTACAATCTCAAAATAATTGGAAAAACAAACTGGTTGACCCATCACCAAATGACCTCAGATCCGCAGGTTTAACCAACGCCCTGCACAGTGGGCATGTACGTTCTCTCTCAAACCTGAAAACATGAAATGCACCCCCCCCCCAAAAAAAAATTACAAGATAAAGGAATGTCAGAAAAATGGAAAAATAAAGATAATAACAGTCATGCTTGTTATCTATGTGCAGCAGATGGAGAATAGATGCCTGTCTTCTTATATACTGCAGCTACAGAGGTGATGCATTTCATAATTTCAAGCTACAGAGGTCACTTGAAAATGCTTAGTACATGCAACTTTTCACCTCGTAAGCATTTTTTCTACAACCTTGATGCATGGAAATAACTGATTGACCTAGTAACTACGAGAGTTCTACACTGGGTTCAAACTCCAGAATTAGAGATCAAGGAAGAGACAATCCTGTCTCAATTTAGCTTGGCAATGGTGATGAATGCTCAGCCCAGACAAGATCTTGCTGTGGGAACAAGATGCTCGTCTATTTAAGTTTGAGATTCCTTAAAAACCTCTATATGTTGGAAGCTTGATTAAATTTGAAAACTGGATACAAAAGCATGAAAGAAACATAATATGAGCAGTGGTGTAAAAGGCGTGCCTAGGCGCACAAGGGAGGCACATTTTAGGGTATGCACCTCGCCTAGGTCCTAGGTACAGCCCTTTCAAAAGGAGCACACCTGGTGCACCTAGGCATGTGCCTGATGCGCCTTGTGCCTCAGCTCAGGCGTGCGCCTTTTGAAAATTTGATGTTTTTTTGCTTTTTTTTTAACCTAGCAGCTGGGCCACCCCTGGGTGCCTCAGCTCAGGCGTGCGCCTTTTGAAAATTTGATGCTTTTTTTTTAACCTAGCGGCTGGGCCACCCCTGGACCCCCGTGCTACACCCCTCAATGCAAGCCCAAACAAGTCCATGTTAGGGTCAAATTCTTAGTTCTCACACAGAAAATAATGATTTTATAATTTTAATGATGTTCATTCATTCATGCTAATAAAATATCTTTTTAAAAAGTGATTAAAATTATAAAATCATTATTTTTTAGTAATGTTGTTCATTCATTCATCCGAAAACCCCCTATTTGGTAATGTTGTTCATTCATTCATCTTAAAAAAGTATATTCTTAAAAAGCAATTAAAATTTAAAATCATTAATTTTTTGTGTGAGAATTAAGAATTTAAGACCCTAACATGGACTTGTTTGGGCTTGGCGGCTCATAAAATCAGGAATGCAATATGTTTTACATCACATTAGCTACTTTAAGTAATGCAATTGAGGAAAAAAAGAGATTGTGGGTTTTACATGCTTGAAAATGTTTTATATGTTTGATTTTAGTTTTAAATTTTCATTTGAATATGCTTTACATGTTATATTTATGTATTTTAATTTTAGATAATAGGTTTTTTACTTTTTTTTAAAACATTTCTAACTATAGAGAACCTGGTTAATAAAGGCCTAGAAGTGGCAGATCTGGCTTGTCCCTTATGCGATGTCATCATGGAGTCATCTAGACATCTGGATCCACTGTCAGTTTTCTCACTGGATTTGGTTAAAAATGCCAGGTTTATTTGGGGTAAAGTGTCTACCAGCGGATGTGAGGGGATTAATAGAGGCGTGGTATCTTGCAGGCTTAAGCAGGGCTGGAAAGGTTGCTTGGAGCATCATCCCTACAGCAGCATCCTGGGCTGTATGGAATGAGAGAAATAGCATAGTGTTTGAAGGAAATCAGCACTCAAAGGAAGAAATTCTAAGCAAAATATTGATATGGTTCATTCGTGGCTGGCTGTCCATCCTCTATTTAGATCCAGACATGTAAGCTCTTTTTTCAAGTTTGATCTCCTTTTTGTAAGGAATGGTTCAAGTCTTTTTGGGGTTTTGTTTGGCTGTTATGGGCAAATCTGTACATCCTCTATTCAATTTCTCATTGTACAGGGGTTTCTTTGTATAAGCTTTTTGATTAATGAAATACTTTACCTTACTGTTTTCAAAAAAAAAAAACATTTATTTTAAAAATTTAAGTTTATATTTTTTATTAATATTGTGTTAGTATTTTTTTTTGCATTTTTCTTGAGTTTTTTATTTTTTAGCAATTTTTTTTTAATTTTTGTGCCTTGCTTAAGAAAGGTGTATGCCTCACCTTGCACCTTGCACTTTAAAAACACTGTTAGTGAGATGCCCATACTCATACTTGTATCCAGGAAGACATGGGAGCCATATCCCCATTTCCTGTATTGTTAACCTTGTATTTGTTTGGTAAGATCCTTGTCCTTGTTGGCATCCATATCTGGATATAATAGAAAACTACAGACATTGCATCCACAGAAAAGGTTTAAAGTAGCATAGATCTGAAATATGCATTCAAATCTAGGATGAATAGCAGCTTCTAATATCTTAACCAACCACTGGCCAAATCTAATTTTTATGAGTGAGACACAAATGGATGTCAGAGTTTTGCCTTGTAACCAATTTTTTTTGGCTACACAGGAAAATATTTTTTTTTTTGAGATTTAAGTTTCTAGTCAATATTGAAGGTGCAATGGGGTTGTTGGTAAGATCTCTGGCTGGTTGTAGTGGAGACTTGGGATCAAATCCTGCCTTCACCGGGGTCTTATAGTGTTGCAATCCAAGGTAATTGGAAACCCCAGTGTCATCAAAAAAGGCCAAGAGACTAGAGCCTGGAAAGGAACCAATCTGGATGAGATTGTAAATGCTAAAATCAAATTTTCCTCCAGGCATAGAGAGCTCTCTGAATATACATGAGTGCATAATTCATGTTTGTGTACCAACATGCTTGCATCAGTGCATGTATATGTTCGACTTATTCATAGATTGTAAAATATGTGTACTTGGTGTAAACACTAAAAGCATCATTGTAAATATGAAAAGCTTGCATGCATGCAACACTATTGGGAGCAACATTATCACAAATATTATCTCTGAAACAATTAATTTCTTGCCTCTGAACATGTATTATGTTGTTCCAACTTCCATTACCTTGCAAACCTACTATCAGATTCCCATTAGTCAAGAGAATTCCAAGTTCAGTCCTTAGAAATAGCACAGTAAAAAAATTGCTATTATTTAAAAATTCAACTACAGTACAAGTTACCTTGCAAACCTTGCAAAATTGCTATTTAAGAATTCAGTCCTTAGAGAATTCCATTACCTTGAAAACCTTGCTAATTCAGATCAAGTTCCACCAACAGTACAAGTTACAAACTACAGAATCTAGTCATAGATGCAGGACATGGCACAATAAAAAAAATTCAACTACACCCTATCAAAGAGGTAATGCATGAAAAAGCATATTATCATGTACTACTATTTAAACATTCAACTACACCTTATCAAACAGGCAATGCATGAAACCACATTACCATGTACTGCTATTTAAACATTCAACTACACCCTATCAAACAGACAATGCATGAAACCACATTATCATGTCCTGCTATTTAAACATTCAACTACACCCTATCAAACAGGCAATGCATGAAACCACATTATCATGTCCTGCTATTTAAACGGCTAGAGCAAAAAAAAAAAAACAAGGTTACAAATGGAAGGAAATAAAACTAACCATTCTGATACACAGTCTTCACAGAAGATATGTTTACAGCGAAGTAAGATCGGAGCATGCATCTTCTCCTGGCAAATAGCACAGAGATCACCTGCTGCATTCACCTTCATCAAATCACCAGAAATTAGCCGCTTGGAGAAATTTTCCTCAGAAAAAAAAAAGAAAAAAGAACATCAGTCTTCTTTTTTTCAAAAGGTAAAGCATGCTGTTAATTAAAATCATCATCATTATCCAAGCCTTATCCCAATTATATAGGGCTGGCTACATGCATCGGAGTGGTTATATTAGTACCCGTGTACAATTAAGCACTGAACAACAGGAATATACAAAAACAACAATATCAGAAGGATTGATTGTTCACAAGTGAAGCTTTTACAATAAAAATAAATAAATAAAGAATAGTAATAAACTCCACTGAAAATCTTGTGTATGCTGATGTGTTTTCTTTTTTTTTGAGAAGAGGTAAAATATAATTTCACTATATAAAAAGGGTCCCAAATGTACTTTCTTTTTGCATATTATTATAAATCAAATACAACACTTTACCTTTAAAAAAAGAAAAGTAAAAAAAGAGTTTATGGCCAGCAAGGAGCATGGAGTGCCATAGATCTTCCTTGCTACCATATCACTAGTGTTGATCTTATCATCAGGTTCTCACGTTCATTTTGAGCTATATAGACCAAAAAATTGTAAATTGTATCATGTCCCAAACACTGTTGTTTAGTATCATACCCCTGCTTGTCAGAATATCAGCTGTTTTGACATTTTTCTAAAACTGCTCTCTAGGTTGACCACTTTTGACAAAAATGAAGATCACCAAATTCTTTAGATAGGAAAAGTTGGAAGATAGGGAGCTGAGAGGGAAGTTGAAAAAGGAATTGGAAGAAGTCATTAATAGGGAGGAAATCTGTTGGAGACAAAAGTCAAGACAAATGGATCAAGGAAGGGGATGGAAATACAAAATTTTTTCATGTGATGGCCAATGGTAGAAGGCGGATGAATTTTGTGGCTAGGCTGGAAGTAAACGGGGAAGTGACATCTAACCAGGATGAGATAGCTAGGATCTTTGGGGACCATTTCAAATCCTTGTATAGAATTGGGACTTGGGAGAAAGATTGAACATAGAAAGGTTAGAATGGACTTTATTAGAAGAGGATGCAGCAAGGTGGCTAGAAAAGGATTTTGGGAAAGAAGAAATAAAAAGGGTAGTCTTTTCTATGGACAAATTTAAAGCACCGGGTCCGGATGGTTTAACAATGGCTTTTTATTAGGACTTCAGGATTGTTGGGAAGTGGTGAAAGATGAATTATTTGAAATCTTCAAGGAATTCTCGAATACACATATTGTTAGTCCTGGAGTTAATGCAACTTTTTTGGACCCAATTCCAAAAAAAACCTGATGCGAGCCAATCCAAGGATTCCCGACCCATTAGTTTGGTTAACAGTATCTACAAAATAATTGCTAAGGTCATGTCTTTGAGGATTAAGGTGGTACTGCCCTCTCTCATAAGTTAGTTCATGGAGCTTTTGTTCAAGGAAAACAGATAATCGACCAAATCCTAATAGCCAATGAATGTGTAGAAGAATTGAAGAAATCCGGGAAGGAAAGTTTTGTGTGCAAATTGGACTTAGAAAAGGCTTATGATTTGGTGATGCATCAACGTGGGTTTGGGGAGAGATGGTGTCATTGGGTGTTTGGTTGTATTCGGTCTTGTCACTTCTCTATCATTGTTAATGGAGTGGTGAAAGACTTCTTCCAAGCTTCTAGAGGACCAAGGGAAGGGGATCCTCTCTCACCCTTCCTCTTTACTTTAGTGGCCGATGTGTTTAGTAGATTCCTCTCTAAGGCTGATAGGGAAGATGAGATTAGGTGTTGGAAAGTGGGCAGAAATAGTGTTCCAATTTCTCACCTTCAATTTGCAGACGACATCATTTTTTGTGAAGGGGTGATAATGTGATATTAGGAGGGTGAGGAGATTAAGGCCTCGTTTGTTTCGCAAATTTTGGAAGGCGGGAAAGTTGGTCAATGGGATTTTGATTCCCATTAACCAACTCTCCCATGTTATTTTTCAAGATTTAGGTGGGACCCATGGTAAATGCCTTTCCCTTGGGTATCACTTACCTGGGAAAGTGTTACCCTTCTCCCACTTGGGAAAGTTAACTTTCAAGTGGAGAGTAAATACTCAAAATAAAATATGTCAAAAATGCCATAAAAAATATAATTCAAAAAGCGTGAACCTGGACCCAAGGGTAAAAATGACAAAACATAGAAAAATTAACCACTTACCTGGGAAAGTGGGTGAGGCAAAAGAACATGGGGAAGTTGAAAGGTCGCATTTACCCGGGTAAATTTAACAAAAAAGAACATGGGTAAATACACTTACCCGAGTAAATCTTTCTTGGGAAACACTTACCTGGGTAAATGGCCTCTTTCTAAACGGACGAGGCCTAAAAGAATTGATCAAGAAGTTTGAAGGAATCTCAACCCTGAAAATCAACTTAGGTAAGAGTTGCATAGTAGGGGTTAACATGGAAGACAATGATTTAAACTTGGTAGCGGATTGCTTTGAGTGTCCGTTGACTTATTTAGGCCTCTAAAGGATTTGTTTCCTTCTTTGTATTCCATCTCCTTGTATAAAAATGAGAGCGTCTCTTTTTTTCTAGAACCACCTATTTTGCCTCTGGGTCATTATTGGGATTTTGGGTTTCGAAGGGGATTGAGTGATGAACAAGCCATTTGTATGTTAGAGTTGTTGTTGCTTCTTGAAAGAGTTTACTTAGAGACTCCAAAACCGGACAGATGGGTTTGGTGTCCAAGTCCTAAAGGTTTCTTTTCCTGTGCCTCTTTTTTTAGTACTCTTTGCCAGTCCCCTATCCCTCTTTCCTTTCCTACTAAGGAAGTTTGGTGTCAACAGATTCCTCCAAAAATTAAAGCTTTTTGTTGGGAAGTGGCTTGTGGGAATGTTAACACACTGGATTACCTACAAAAGAAGAGGTCATTTCTATGTATTTCCTCGAACTGGTGCACTTTATGTAAATTGGATGGTGAGTCTTGTTACCACTTACTAATCTCTTGCTCCTTTTTTGCAGATATTTGGGAGTGGTTTTTCTCTTTGTTTGGGTGCAGGTGGAACATGCCAATGGAGATTAAGATGCTGTTTGATCCAGCTACCTTTGTGTGGCCAAAAAGAAGGGGAGGAATAATGTGGAGATGCACTAGAGTAGCAGTGATTTGGACCTTATGGTCAGAAAGAAATGCTAGGATTTTCCAAGAGAAGCCGAGAAGCAAACAAGAAATTATGGATTGTGTTTTGACCAGAGTTCTCCTTCGATGATATTTGGCTACTAACTGTGAATTTCTTAGACAGTTCTCCTTCGATCATATTTGGAGGAATTGGTTATCAGTGGCTTCTAGTTCTGCACAGAAGACAAAAACAAGGTTGTAATGGGCATCTCCCAGTGAAGGTTTTTTGAAATTAGATCTGATAGCACTTTTTTTTAGGACCGATGGGGAATGGAGACTCTATAAGGGTCTTAACTGTTTGCAGTCCTACAGGGTGTTCGGATTGCAAAAGGAATGAACTTGGAAAACCTGGAGATTGAAGGGGGATTCCAAGGTTGTGGTGGGCTGATTAAAAGACCCGGATTCAGTGATATGGTGCTATCGAGATGAAATGAAGAAATTCAAATGGTTAACCCAGCAGATGAGCTTAACTATACAAGGGGTGGGAAGGGAGACAAATGGTATGGCTGATTCATTAACTAAGCAAGGGGTGCCTAGGGATCAATTGTTTAGGGCTCAGTTGTAATTTTTGTGCTGTCTTTTCTTTATGAGTGAGGCTGCATCTTGTGCCTCCATTGGGGAAGCTTGTAACAATTGGTTATCTTTTCTGATTTAGTGAAATTTTAAAGAATCTTTTAAAAAAAGGTACCTGCTAATGGAAAGCTCAATTGTTTGAAGACCAAACTGTGCATTATTCAGACCTAACCCACAACAGGGTTTCACATGTTATATCTTCTTCAGTAGTTGTGAATTGCCATCATCTCTAAACACTCCATGTTTTTTTTCCAAAATCTCACCCTAGAGCCATCTGAAATTATATATCTAATACCTTATAGAAATTTCTGGTAGAATTATTTTTTTTTGGATTTCAAAATTTCTGGTAGAATTTCTTCCACTAGGTTCCAATTCATGCTCCTTGTTCCATATTTGATTACCGTGATGTGTCTACATAAAATCCCTGACTGTTCATTGAACCTCCAAAACACCATTTATTTTGAAGAACAATGCTCTGTCTCCAATCTTCTTAGACCTAGTTCTCAAACATTTTTTTTGGTGTGCACCTTGTTCCACTTCGGCAAGTGAAATTTGACCTCTTTCCACCCTTTCCTTTTTTTTTCCTAAATTCCCCTTTCTAGTTGTTCACTACACTCGACAACAAGGAGAAAAGCAATAAGAAATATTGGGAAGTGGTGACAACCACACTTCTGATAAGAAGGAGCTTACGTCCCTTAGATAAGTATTTCGTCTTCCATGAAGCCAGCTTTTTATGAAAACATTCAACCATCAGATAAAAGCCTTGAGACACATCTTACCCCTAATGGCAAACCTGAATACTTTGTAGATAGTTTGCCAACAATACACCCTAGCACAGTCACCATTTGTTCCAACTTTGATGTCTCTCCTATAGTCCTACCACCATTACTTGTGCACGTTTATGCATAGAGAAGAAACTGCATTGAACCATCTAAAGATACAAAAAAGATGTACCATTTGGTCTTGGGATGCCTTATAAAAAAGAGAGTGTCATCAATAAATTGTAGTAGAGGAGCAAGGTGCCAACCAGCTGGTTGGTAAGGTCTCCTGCTGGTGGTAGAGGAGACTTGGGATCGAATCCTGCCTACACCTGGGTTGGGGGATGGGCTACTCCTGCCCCCTGGGTTGTATAGCCCTTCAAAAGAAATAAATAATAATAATAATAAATAAATAAATTGTAGCAGAGGAATTGCCATTTGATCCTTTCCAGCCTGTAAACATTGAATAAAACATCCTGATGAAGATATTCTAGTTAGGACCGTGGTGATGAAAATGAGTGGAAACTAGG